TTTTTTTTGGTTTTTCGAGACAGGGTTTCTCTGTGGTTTTGGAGCCTGTCCTGGAACTAGCTCTTGTAGACCAGGCTGGTCTCGAACTCACAGAGATCCGCCTGCCTCTGCCTCCCGAGTGCTGGGATTAAAGGCGTGCGCCACCACCGCCCAGCCTTCACACTCTTTTCTTCCTTGCTCATGACCATGTCAGCACCACCACGAGACAGCCACTGCTCGTGTGGAGCAGGGCTGTGGGGAGCAGGGGTGGCTCTTCATCTTGGTGCTGATGCAGGCTGGAGAGAAGTGTGTCAAATGAAGTGCCTGCATCTGATGGTGATGGGACACACCTCCACATCCCTTCTGAATCAGTCCAGGAATCAGGATGCCCCAGCCCTGCGCCTCAAGCATTCTGATTTCCCCTCCCTGCCTAGGTATTACTTCTTGGTGTTCAATGCTTCTGTTCTCTACTGGAACATGGTGCGGCCATTCCTCAAGCCTGGATATCACCAATTTGTGATCCCCAGCCTCTCTCAAATCATCGCCGTGTTAAACCAGACAGAAGAAGAGGACAAGGAGTGGCAGGCAGAGCTGATGATGTGAGTGGGGGCAATAGAACTTAAAAGCCCTGGGCAAGTCCTATACTTATTGTGATTCAGGCCATATGAACCTCTTTCTCTCCCAAGGAAGGGGCTGGGTTCCTGACTTGTCAGGGCGTTCTTTCTAGAATCTATGGCTATTGCAGCAGGTCTTAGAGATTCCTCAGGACTCAAAGCAGAAGAAATGTGACTCCGTCGCTGATCCTGGCCCATGCTTTTAAAACTTAGTGCAGTGGGGTTGTTGTTGTTGTTGTTTGGTTTTGGTGTTAGTAGGTACTCTGGCAAGTAGCTATGCCGATATGAGCATCACATCTGGGTTCCAGGTGCCTGAGCTTGGGAGCTCTGAGGTCACTGCTCTGAAGCCACAAACTGTCAGCAAATGCCTGGTCACTGTGCCAGCTAGACCAAGAGGCGATCTCTCCCAGGTTTTGTCAGGATCTTTCTACAAGCACGAGACCAAGTGGGGTTTTGACAATGTAGATCCCAGCACCAAAGATGTCGGCCCAAGTCTAGACCACAGTCTGCAGTCTTGGGGCACCTGCTTGTGGCCAATGGGAGGAACCTCTAAGAGAAAGTTGATGCAAATGAGATCTGCCTTCAAAGTGCCATCCAGAAATGTCCTTGATAATTAAAATGCCAATCACCCCGTTCTGTCTGCAGTAGTTTCTTCCACTCCTGCTGGCCTTGCTGTGGATCCTGACGGGTATAGGGCACTTCCCTGGGAGGCTTTTTTAAAGTTCGTGAAACACAGAGTTTGCAAAAGCCCAGACCCTAGCTCTCAGAGATTTGCAGCAGAAGACTGCTAAGAAGGCTAATGTCTGCTGTTTTATGTTGTCCAGGGAGCTTCTTGAATGCTACTTGCAAGCTGGAAAGAATGAGGATGCTGCCAAGTTCTGCTTGACGGCTGCACCATTCATCAAAACCCATGTGCCACACAAGTACAGGCAAATGTTCTCAGTCATGGTAAGCGGACACGTTACAAGGAAAGGCAAGGAGTGGTGCTGTCAATCATTCAGAGACAATGCAGAAAGCCTCAATAAGTCCATTTGTTGAGGCATATAAAAACATACACATATGTGAACAAAACAAGCAAAAGTGATGAAGAGAACAGGCGGTTCATCTTATAGGGAAGAGCAAAGTCCTCCCACTACTATCGGTTAAGTATTTCTTTTGTTCCAGCATCAATTTAAAAAAAAAATATTCACAGAAAATTTGTGAAATACAAGTAATTGCTATAGCGCCATGTCCCCAACACGTCTACAACCTGCTAATTTTGATGTATAAGAATCAGCATAAACCATATCTAAAAATGTATAAAACTTAGTGAGAATTTGTCTTAATTACAAACATTAATTTTATAGGGGAAATAAAAAATACGTAGGCACAAAATCTGAATGCATCTCTCGTTCCTCATTTGAATGCAAAGTAACATGCAGTTGCATTCCCGGACAGGTGCGTCACGAGCTAATGGATGATCGTCAGTTAAGGGAAGAGAAAAAGCATTCCATGAGCCTCTCCATCACTTACCACATCAATTCACTAAAAGCGTAAGTAGTCTGGGCAAGTTGAGCTCGGGCTGGGATCAGGACACCGTGTCTTCTCTCTTAGGGTGCCCTTTGTCAGTGAGAGGGAGTCTTAGGGCTTGGGACTGGCTATAGGGCCTGTCCTAGATGAGATGGTACTAGGGGTTTTGTGGAGAGGGCCTAAAGTAACCCCCATTTACTACATCCATTACTGAGAAGCAAAGGGGGGATGAAGCTACCAATAGAGTAATCAGAGTCCCAGCAGGTGAAAAAAGTCCCCAGCTGAATCAGATGCTTCTCACAGCCCTGCTGGCCTGACGAGGAGAGTGAGGAGATCACAGTGTGCCTGGTCCTGAGGAGAGAGAGGAGATCGCAGTGTGCCTGGTCCTGAGGAGAGAGAGGAGATCGCAGTGTGCCTGGTCCTGAGGAGAGTGAGGAGGAGATCACAGTGTGCCCGGGCCTGAGGAGAATGAGGAGATTACAGTGTGCCTGGTCCTGAGGAGAGAGAGGAGATCACAGTGTGCCTGGGCCTGAGGGGAGAGAGGAGATTGCACTGTGCCTGGGCCTGAGGGGAGAGAGGAGATCACAGTGTGCCTGGTCCTGAGGAGAGAGAGGAGATCGCAGTGTGCCTGGTCCTGAGGAGAGAGAGGAGATCGCAGTGTGCCTGGTCCTGAGGAGAGAGAGGAGA